TCCAACCATTGTGTGACGTAATAGGCCTAAACAGCTTAAGGTCGTCAGCAAACATAACAAACAATATTTCATAAGAACATTTGAATATAATTTGACACTCAATCGGTGACAATATAAGTATTTCTATTGCTAGCTTTGATAATACACTCAATGCAGAATTAATAGGACGATAATTAATTAAATCAGATTTATCGCCAGATTTAAATAACAAATTGAATAAACAAAATTTTGTACGGTCCACTTTCCAATGTTCAGGACGGGCAAGAGCCTATATCGACAATGTTTGTACATAGGATTTTTAGATGAACATTATCCGGCCAACATTTTTATTATACTGAATTATTAGGTATAATAACTAGTTTTGAAAATTGCAAAACGAAAATATAACTGAACCCGTTTGGTTTACCCGTTGCGACCACCGTCTATGATATTATAATTTAATATCTAATTAATGGCCCGTTATAAAATTGGAAATTCAAATTTCAAACACCTACCTATAGCGCTGTAAGTATAATATTTAATTGAAAAAACAAAAACTAGTATTTTATAGTTTTTTAATTTTTTTTTACTCGGTTGAAAATCAAAAAATTACCGATTGAATAACAAAATAGTCTAACATATTTTATAGCCTAATTAAAATTATCGAATTGCAATAATTGTCATGTATACATTCATTTAAATTCAAAATAACATAAAAATCAAATTATAATCGGACAATCTTAATCATACTAGTTTTTGTGCACATTAAAAAATTCCAAATTCAAATTTGAAACGCTTAGAAATAGGGATACGTAATATGTATAAATTATATACTGCTATAAAAATAATATTAAATTAAAACAAACAAAAACTAGAATTTTATAGTTATTTTATTTTTCGTCAAAAATTTAATAGCCTAATTAAAATTAATCAAATTGCAATACTAATCATGAACACATTCGTTTTAGTTTAATACAACATAAAAGTCAAATTATTATCGGACAAGCTTAATTATACTATTATTTTTTTTGTATTTTATCTTTAATGCGTAGCTAAGGTGATTTTACAATGATGTTTTTTTCAGAAATCAGAAATCGTACCTGTATGGTATTTTATTGAGCCGAAAATGTCATCCTTTCCGCTCCAAAATGGTGAACCCCCCCCCCCCCCAATAAAAAAAGTGTAGCCAACATATTTTTCAACTTACTCAAATTGCGGCTCACTCGTTTACATAATCCAAATTTGCAAAGAATATTGTACTTAAGACATAGTGCTACTGGTCAAACGTCGACAACCCAAACAAATAGGTATCAAAAACCCTTTTCCCCAAAAGGGGTGGTTACTTATTATTTATTTTGCTTGAAGGTCTGAAAATTAGACCGGTTACAATGTATAGTTTTTTGGAAAATGTAGCCAACCAAAAAGTAGAGAAAAAATACAGGTACCTAATGAAACTACCTTTATTATATTGTTAATTATGCGATATAAGGAAAGGTAACTATGGCAACATATTGTTGTAGACAAACGATCAACCGCAATCGTATCCGCCCTAAAACTGAAAATTAATTTTTAAGCTCATAATCTTCACTAGGTACAATGTTTTCTATGTTTGTACATATTTGTCTATAGTTTTAGCTACAACGGTTGCCCAAATTAATTTTTTTTTACACTTGTTAAGGTACACAGAAAATGAGAAATTTCAGTGTACCTAATCCTTATAACTTATAGTTTTTCCTTTACGTGTCAAAAGTGACCAAAAATAGTGTGTTGTTTGCGTGTGGCTTGTGGTTTTAATATACGGCCAATTTCCGTCTAGTGCGAAGGGCAGAAAGTAAAGAAACGATTAAGACGTTTATTAGAACAAATGCCCAATTAGACTTTTCTTGCAAAATGCGTTTTTTCTTATAAAGTATATTCGTTTTTTTTTTTTTTTACTTGATATTGTGGTAAAATATTGGCTTAGTATGCATACTAGGAACATGCTGTGATAAGAAAATATATAATTTTATTTTACTAGAAAATAAACTTATTAGAAAAAGAGCCTAACAAGACACAAGTGTTTTTTTTTATAAACCAAAGTACAACTGTGATTAAAAAAGTCTTCAAAGTAAACTATTGTGACAACTACTTTCAAATGTCGTACCTAATATTGTCAAAGTTAATATTGTTTTCTATGTGACGCTTTTATTTTTGTTTTATAAAAGCATTTTAATATAATAATATTGCGCATGATGTTACACAGAACAAGTGTTTTTTTTGTTTTTATTAAATAAGAAAAAAACCAAAATTCGAAATTGGGCACTTGTAGTATACTAATAGACCATAGTGTACTGTTAAGTGTATACATATTACATAATCATTTACTTTATGGACCTTAAAACCAATAATCTAAAAAATGTGCCCAAGGCGTTTTCTCTGTAGTCTGTGGAAACTAGAATTTTTTTTTACACATCTAAATACCGTTGTTAATTTCTGAAAATTAAATATCTAATTAAATAAACGACCGAAATAAAAAAAAAAAACTATCAGCCGAAATCGGTAATTATTTAGTAAAAATATTTAATATATTTACAATTTCTGCATAATTAATTATGTAGGTACCTACTTATTTTACTGAAATAAATTTGTGTAAAACTTTTTAAGGGAAACGGAAAGCGCCAATTTTTTTACAATTAGTGTCTACCGAACCGATTTCAACAATTTGTTTTATATAGTTTTACATATATAAGGGAGGGGAGGGGGTCAAAAGGCCGATTTTTTTATTTTTTTCAATCATTTATATTTTTACTTTTTTATAGTTTTTTCTCTAATTAATCATACAAAAATTACACTTCACATAAAAAAAAAATGAAACACTCGTAGTAAAATAACTTTAACAAACCGATTTCACCGACATTTTTTAAGGATTTATCTTATTGATAATTATATTAAAAAATTAGTTGGCGAAAATTGGGTTTCGTCGAGCTTTGTCAGACGAAATGAGCTTTTGAAAAAAATTGATTGACATGTTGAAATTACATATTATATCGAAATATACATTACTTACTAATCGAGTTTTGTTTTTGTACAATTTTTAACATTATCGCTTATCAGTTATCACATTTCGTGATAACCAACGAGAACGTTGGAATCGCGGTAACCGCTTTGTGGTAACCCGGGTGACATTTTGTTAACTTGACAAAATATAGAATTTAATAATAATAATGGTACGGTGAAACTTAACTTTCATTCAACCAGATGTTAAATTTAAATGAATTGTCAGCTAAAATTGTGTTAAGAGCGTGTTTAACAATAGTCGGTGTGAAAACCGGCTGTTAAAGTATTATAATAATTATTGGGAAAATATCGCCTATCCGTTGCCAAACAATGCTTTTAATACGTTTAATGTATAATTTTTTTAAATTGTATTTATATCTAAACCGTCCAATACATTACACCGTTCGGCATTCAATAGAATATTAATTTTAATCAGATTTTTATTTAATCCAACCATGGTGTGCCGTAATAGGCCTGAACAGCTTAAGGTCGTCAGCAAACATAACAAACAATATTACAAAAAAAAAAACATTTGAATATAATTTGACACTCAATCGGTGACAATAAAAGTATTTCTATTACTAGCTTTGATAATACACTCAATGCAGAATTAATAGGACGATAATTAATTATATCAGATTTATCGCCAGATTTAAAAAACAAATTGAATAAACAAAATTTTGTACCCACTTTCCAATGTTCAGGACGGGCAAGAGCCTATAGCGACAATGTTTGTACATAGGATTTGAAATAAAAACATTATCCTGCCCCATTTTAGTATAATAATAATTACTTAAACGCAATATATTACATAATATATCTATATTTAATGTAAAGTACTTTTAGGTAACTTATCGTTGAGTTGGTTCAACTATTTATTTAGTCATTCCAACTAGATATTTATTGTGTACCATACTTTCAGTTGGATCATTGTATGCATTTTGTTTTCTGTGAAGGTATTGTTGTTGTTACAAACACTTTTATTATACAGAATTATTATAGTTTTGAAAATTTCAAAAAGAAAATATAACCGAACCCGTTTGGTTTACCCGTTGCGACCACCGTCTGTGATATTAAAATATAGCCTAATTAAAATTAATCAAATTGCAATAATTGTCATGTATACGTTCATTTAAATTTAAAATAACATAAAAATCAAATTATAATCGGGCAATTTTAATCATACTAGTTTTTGTGCACATTAAAAAATGTCGAAATTGAAACGCTAAGAAATAGGGATACGTAATATATACTGCTACGAAAATAATGTTAAATTAAAACCAACAAAAACTAGAATTTTATAGTTTTTTTATTTTTTGTTACAATTTTAATAGCCTATTTAAAATTAATCAAATTGCAACAATAATCACGTGCACGTTGGTTTTAGTTTAATGTACCATAAAAAACAAATTTTAATCGGCCAATCTTAATCATACTAGCATTTTATCTTTAAGCTGAGGTGTTTTTACAATGACGTTTTAGTTTTTTGGGTCTGCGCATCTAACCAACTATGAATTTTTTCCGTGAAGGTATCGTTGTCACAACACTTTTTTTACTATACTGAATTGTACTGGTTTAAAGGATGTTTTTTAATACGTTTACCAATTGTACCCGCTAAAAAATTCGGTTTTAAACGGAAAAAAAACCGTTTGGCGGTCTCGGGCAACGGCGCGCGCTCTGGCCACGGCACGGCACGGCGGTCGGCGACACGACAGCGGCGGCCGGAGCGCGGCGCGCCGGGCGCAAGGGGCGTCGGCGCGTGGCGGCACGGCGGATTGCGCGCGTCCGCCCGGGGCGTGTCCGGGTCCCGGCGGTGCCGCCCGTCGCTCCGCGGCGGCCGCCGCCTAGGCGTCGCCCACGGCCCGAGCGGCCGCCCGTGCCCGACGCGCGGCGCGGCGGCGGCGGCCGACAGGTGGCGCCCCGGTCGCCGTGGGCGGCCTCGGCCATGGTCGCCCGGACTCGCCGCCAGTTTGTGAGCGCCGTTCGCCGTCCGCCGTAGCACACCGGGTGCGTCTCTTATCCGTGTGTGTGTGTGTGTGTCCGTACGTTGTTTTTTTTTTTTTTCCCACGTCTCCCGATCCGCCGACGAACATATCACATTTCGTACGATACTTTAAATAATAATATATCTAGTCGTCGTGTGTATATTTTTTTTTTTTTCGGTTCGAAAAAAATTCCCCGTCGCCGGCGGTATACGAAGAGAGCGGCGATTTTTTTTTTTATTTATAAAAAATCGTCGGCGTCACGAAACGCGCGCGCCAACGTGTAATATATTAATATATATATATACATATACATAATACGTTTATTGTATAAAATGTCGCACTATCGTGGGCCGCGCCTTTGCCTCACCGTGGACAATCGACGGACGGCCGTTATCGCCTAGGACACTGCGCACGCGAGCCGTCGACGTCCACTCGCCAAAAAAAAAAAAAAAAACCACACACATTCATACATACATATTGTTATATATACATATATATATATATATACACAGCCGACGACCGGCACGCGGTTTTCAATTTTTGTTTATTGGTATTAATTTTTTTTTTGTCATTTGGGTTTTATCTCGATCCGCGTTTGTTATCGTTTGTGTGGTACGTAATACACAAATTATTATTACCTATTGCCGCTAATTATATTAGTCCGCCGACGGATTCGACAACAATAATAATAATTGTAATTTTACATACACACATACCGTCTTGAATTGTTGAAAATTACATTGAGAAAATAATAATAATAATAACCAACACTCGAGACGCGACGCCGTTCGAAATACTCGAATACCGGAAACGTCCACAAATGGCTGCCCATCAGCCCGCCACTACGCAAAGGGTGAGTACACACGTTGAATTTATTGTCTATTATTATCTATTATAATTATACGCGAATCGTGCCGTGGCAGTAGTGCCGTCGTTTAACCTCGTCTAATCAAACCTAACTGAACCCGACCTAACCGAAATTAATCAAATCGAACGAAACCTAACAGAACCCAACCAAACCTAACCGAATCGCCCGCTAAACCTAACCTAATCGAACTCAACCAAACCAAATATAACCAAACCTAACCTAACCAAACCTAATCAAATCCAACCAAACCCAACAGAACCCATCAAACCTAACCTAACCTAACCGAATCGCTCGCTAAACCTAATCGAACCCAACCAAACCTAACTTAAGCGAACCCAATCAAGTCGAACCAAACCTAACAGAACCCATCAAACCTAACCTAACCTAACCGAATCGCCCGCTAAACCTAACCAAACCTAACCGAATCGAACCGAACTCCTCTCCCAAACGATTACAACTCGAATATGTAGAAACGAGACGCTTGGCAAAAATTCCCTCAAAATTACTCTGAAAACATTTTAATATTAAAAATACACTATGATAGGTATAGTGGGAAACCTCAACCCGGTAGGCAGGTAGGTACATCCGTCCGACGGTCACAATAATACATACCTATTTTATTAATATTAATACACCTACTTACCCACATAATTATATATTATTATCATCGTTTTTTTTTTATATTATTATTATCAAACGTTATCAGCCGTGACGAAACCAACCGACACACGGCCGGATTGGATTTTTGTCTTCATTATTATTATTATTATTAATAATCCGACTCGATACCGAGTACGTTTTACGGTTATACACACTGCATATATTGTAGAGCAATGATAATCGAAAGCACGATATTGCGGTGCAAATAATTTGTAAAATGGGTATTCGAGAAAATCAAAAAAATCAAAAAAATACATAATATATATTACCTATAAAGCGCCTTATAAACCTTTTACAGCGCCCCCTTACAAAAAAAAAAAAAATAGCCGTTCCTAGTGTTTTATATTGGTAAAAAAAAAACCGCTCTTGCACGTTATTTAGATAATAAGAATATCGAGTATTAATATACAATCGTATGAATTTTTAAACTGTTATATTATGTTATTTTATCTCCTCTCTCTTAACCTGCAGTCGCTTGTCGGGTGTTGGTTATCTATAAAATATGTTTTTAATACAAAGCCGGTCACGTTGATCATATACTAACACAGCTATCCATCCGTCTTATCTATTTAAGTTTCTCGATGATGATAATAATAATAATAATAATAATAGGACCACTCGCTGTCGTACAGCAGGTACACATAATATTATTGTGAAGTTATAAAATGTATAGCAATTGAATTTTCAAAAAAAAACGCGCACAAGTTTTTTTTTCACACTCTCTTCACAAAACCCCGCCGTGTGTGTGTATCGATTTCGGTTTGTCACTCTTTTTGACATATTATTATTTTTGTCTACTCGGTAAGTACACACAAACACTTTTCCGGTAGTTGAGTTTTTTAATTTTTTTTTTTTTTTTGTAAATAACGATATTGTACACCCGTGTCGTCGCGGTCAAACGGTTTTAAGATAGTTTTTTTTTTCCATTCAAGTTAAAAAAAAATCAATATGGTATAACATCATGTATGATTGACGGTTTTTGTGTACTTTCAAACTAACTGTAGTTTGGTTGGTTACTTGTTGCAATTATCCTGTTTTCTTCTTCAATTTCGATTTGCCAATGTTGCAGTGTGTCTGAAGTGGACTTTTTGTTTTAAAAATTATACTTGTGACACCAGCAGAGTGTGGTGCACGGACGTCTCAAGGGGACTTGTGCTTTGCGTATTCCAAGTAATGCGTTTAAATAAGAATAAAATAATATCTTCCGTGTACAGTACAAAATATGTGTCTATCGTTTAACATAGAGCGTTTAACGACCTCTTGGAATTTTTTTTTATTTTCACCCAAGGTAATAAATCTTTTCAAAACTAAGTACACACACACACACACACACACACTTTGTACTGTATGATGTGTTATAATTTATGCACATCATCAAAGCGTTTCCGGAAAACCGCACGCTGACTGGCCGCCGCCGTTTTGCTCTAAATCTAAAATATATAAAAAAAAAAAAATATATATATATGTTTTATAAGTATATATTTTTTCTTCCAATAACGTTATATTGTGTAATACGTTACGACAAACGTTTTCAAAATAATATAGTTGCACCTATTTTTTTTTTTTTTTTCAAATTTTTTTCTGACGTCCAACGTTTGTGTGTGTGTGTGTGTGTTTTTTTATGTTTAACAAAATTCGGTAAATTATTTTGCAAATCGTTATATCATAATAATATTTCACGCGGTTTTGTTTTTTTTGTGCTCTCATAACAGCCTTTTTTTTTTTTTTGTATTTCACATTTCACCAGTGCGGTTGTAGTATTGGCCGGGTTATAATAATAATAATAATAATTTATTATTATCTAAATCGACGGTGATGATGATAATAATAATAATAATAATACAAATATTAGGTAGATTGAGATTGTTGTGCGCTTTAAGATATCAGCTCTCTCGAGTGGTGGACTGATATGATTATTTGAGTTGTTCTTTTTAGAACACTAGCCGTCGTTTCTATAGGTTTGGTCTATAGAGATTTTTTTCTGCTAAAACGTTTGTCGTTTTTTCCAAACAAAAATCCTACCGATTAAATTCAAGTCTGTGTGTAGTGAGCACTTTATAAACGGGTGTATAATATCACATGTACCGGTATCCTTCTTAATGCGCTCGACCTACGCTTGACCCGTTACAGCCGTGTGCTATGAGTGCAAAACGGTTTTGGATCAATTAAAAACGAATAAATCTTTTCTAAAAAAAAAAAAAAAAAAACCTCTATAGTATATAACAGTAGCTGTCCATTACCACACCGCCACCGTAGGCTTTATCTCGGTTTTTGTTGAATAATAATTATATACATTATGAGTAATTTATATCCATCGTTTGTCTCTCGGAGCTGTTGTGTGTGTAAAATATGTGAATAGTTGTTGCTGTTGATTTTTTTTTTACTTTTAATTTAATTTTTTTTTTTTTTTAAGCCACTCCGGCACGCGCTGCTGTCCATAATATATCTGTTATGAAAATATCGCGTTATTTGTACAAGATGATTCATAATCGGATCCGTAGATTACCAAATGTATAAATTATCTGTTTTACATGTAATTAATTATTCGCACTCAATAATCGTTTATCGCGTTCGGCCAATCGTTTAAGATATTCATCAAAGTCGTTGGCGGTGGTAATAATAATAATAATAATGCACCTATTTCATTAGCAGCGGCAAACAGCTCAGCCGGTTTATTTTTTACCAAACACAATGGACGTGGGACGCTTAAAAAAAAAAAAAAAACCCCATTTTTGACCGAGTTCACGATATTATGCTATATTATTCTCACACAATGTGTCTAATCGAAGAAATAATAGGAATAATAATAAAAAAAAAACTGTTACCCGAAAACGCATAGCAAACTCAATATAATAATTATTGTTTTCGGTTTAGAAAATTCCAAAAAAAAAAACAACTTACACAAATAACAAAATACTAGCAAATTTTTTTGGGTTTTGACCGCACCCCCTCCCCTCCTGGCCGCCCTCTCGGGGTCGTTTAAATAATCATCCGGACGACACGTTATAATATCCGAGTAAAAAATTATTCGAATAATTGCAATTTTTGAGAAAAAAAACCTATTCCAATAATTTATTGTTCGAATAACTGCAAACATAATTTTATTAATTCGATGGACGTTTTATTCGAATCAATTGTGAAATAATTATATCCCACTAGGAATTTTCACAACTCTGCCTGTTGTATGCATTTTTCTAATTGCAATTGCAATTGGTTCATCATTGCTGATAGACAAGAAGATCAACAAAATTGTAATTATGCATCACGTTATGCCCAAATATCAAACATGATTGTTGTTTTGGTCAAAAGACTATTCGATTATTTTGCAAACTTGATACTTTTTGCAATAACTTTTCACAATTTAATTGATAGAATTTGCAAGTGCGGTTTTGTGCAAGTCATTTTTGTCGAAACCACAACGTCGCGCGTTCATATAATACTTTTGTAATACTTGTAAAATGAAAACGTATACATTGTTCTTGGAATAATTTGTGAAAACGTTTTTATTCGATAATAACTTTTCCAAAAAGACCAATCCAATAAGGCTTTTATTCGAATAATTCTGCGGCGTTTGGGCGGCAAAAGCGGATTAGTTTAAACTCCTTATTTGCGTGTAAACCTTTTTGTTTTTCATTTGTCGTTCACCGTTGCGATTTTCGGTAATAGAATAAAGCGCGGTTTATAGTCCTCTCATTGTTATCGTATTATAGACGGGAAAATAAACAAAAAAAGTATTTTTATAAAAAAAAATAAAAATGGCATTACAACGGCCGTGGTGTGTTGGATGGCGTTTTTTCAATTTAATAACAGATTTATATATATATATATTGTAACTATATTGCTAATCTTACACCGCCATCTTTTTGGGGCAATTACAACCCTATCACCTTATCACAATTATTACAAGTCGAGTTGATAACACAGAATCACAGATATTAAAAATGGCGGATTCTTGTTGCTTGTCGGCCATTGTTGTATGGTCATATATGTATATATATACATACATCTGTGGATTTAATGTATTTTTCCAAGCAAAATACTAATTTTTATCTATCAAATAAAAACATGTTGTTGTTGTTGTATTTCCGCCACGACGGGCGGTCAGGCCTAATCATAAAAACAACTTGACCGGATTTTTTTAAGGATGATGTTATATTATTTTTAATTAAATTTAATAAGCTGTGTGTGTGTGTGTGTGCGTGTGTGTCTAATCGTCGGCCGTTGTTGTTTATCTGATTGCAGTACGACGAGCAGCCGACCGGCTATCCCGGAATGGACGGCAGCAACGGCATCGGCGGCCTGCCGCCGCCCGGCCTGTACGCGCACAGCCAGGCGTCCCTGCACGGCATGCACCCCGGCATGTTCGGCGGCCACGCGTCCGTGCCCCAGGCCAACCACGGTCCGGCCACGCCGACGCCGGGCCTGCCGCAAAACCACCAGGCCCCGGCCTCGGCCATCCCGCCGTCGTCGGTGGGCGACGCGGCCAGCAAACGGGACAAGGACTCGATATACGGGTAAGTGCGGTTTTTTTTAAGTACAATTTTGAAAAATCAAGAGAAATGTCTCTCAAGCAAACCCCGAAAACTAGATAAACTAGAGCTTTTCAAAATACCACCTACTTGTATTGTTTATTTATTCATTCTTTGGTCGGAGATCTTTGTCGAAACGAAAACAAAACGTGTAGAGCTTATTTGGAGTTTTTAGGTTTTTTTTTTTTTTTTTGAGAAACCCAAGCCCTCCCTTTCCCTCCTAAAAGATAAGTAGTGTTTGAAAATTGTGTAAAGTATAATATTTTGAAAACTGTTCAGATCGAGTGAAATATATATTTCGATTTTCCTATCTTGTAAAATACTAAAATAATTAAACATTTCAGCGACGTCCTACTTTTTTTTTTTTTTATCTCATTTTCAATTTTTATAATATCATTTTTAACTTATATCAACGTTTTTGTGTTGAAAACATTTCTTACAGCATTGATTTTTAACTAGGCACGTTTGACAATTTAATGTATGATTTGTTTCAACATTTTTTTACTTTAAATTCCGGTTGCAATAATCGCACAATTTCTTAACTACAGTTTTATTTCATTTTTTGTCTCTTCTAAATTCCAAAACACTTTTTATGAATTTGGGCACTGTGTTTGTCCGTTATGAATTTTACTATTGAGAAAAAAATAATAATACTGCTATCTGATTGAGAGAGGCCAAATAGAGAGAACGTTAAAAAAAAATACAAAATTTCACAATAAGGTGAAATATAATATTTCAATTTTAACAATTAGTTCATTTTAAATTAGGACAATTCGCATGTATTTGTATCTTCTTAGTCGCCTTTTTTATCAGTACCGTATTTTTAGCTCAAATTAAAATTTAAAAAAATAAGTCCTAAGCACACTGTTTTTCCATGGTAACCGATGTAGCCAAATAACTGGAATATCTTTACACAATTGAACCGGGACCATCTTAATAATGATAAATCATTTTTATGCAAATATCTTCCAAACGGGGCAAACCAGAGCCGCCAACAATCCAATGGGAATAATGTAGTTGTCTTAAATCGCGGGCCCCTTGTGTTAGTAAATAATGAAATTAATTCTCCAGACCGAAAACTATATAATGTTATTATTATTGTTTGGTCTTTCTTCTCTCGCTGTTCAAACTCTTTAAAGTTATATTATATATTTGTCTCGTGCAAGATCCATTTTAGATTATTGTTCTGTTATTATTGCAACCTCATCTTCGGGGTCATAAAATTAACACTAGAAGGTATTCATAATACAAATGTTTACGACCCACTCTATGCTCTCCATAATATCTTCATTCCACATGTCCAGTCGTTGCACACCACCACAAGAAAGAAGCTCGATCCAAACGTTATGTATACATATATATATATATATATATATTAGTTCTAGATCCGCCATAACGTGACCAAACATTAGGCATTACCACTGTGAATACTTTATACATAAAAAACGAGCGCTCCGTTAATTGGTTTAACGCACATTCTATTATACTGACAAAGAATTTGGACACTGATTGGATTTTTTATACTTCTCAATGTTGTCAGAGTTTAAAACGTTCTATCTGGTAATAATAATCCAGATAACACATTATCCATGTATAAAAGTTATTCGAACAATTGCAATTTTGAAGAAAACATTTATTCCAATAATTTATCATTCGAATAATTCCAAACATAATTTATTATTCGATGGACGTTTTGTTGGAATAAATTGAAAACAAATCGACCGAATGGGTAATTTCTTAATCGAATATAATTATCCGAATTGAGATTTTTCACATTTTCGCATATTGTGTATAATATTATGACATATTTCACCATCACGCGCGACCGCCGCCGTTGTCATTGAGGCTTTGGCGGGAAACCTGATTTTTCAACTTGGTGTTTTTTTTTTTTTAAAAAAATTGTTTTCTATTCCCACAGGCACCCGTTGTTTCCCCTGTTGGCTTTGGTGTTCGAAAAGTGTGAACTCGCTACATGCACGCCCAGACAAACGGACGGGTCAATGGGACCCGGAGGCGATCACAGCATATGCTCTTCGGAGTCGTTCAACGAAGACATAGCCGTGTTTTCCAAACAGGTAAGAGCGCCGTTTTCACAATAAAACAAATTACAATATACCTATATATATATATATACATGTTTTCGAATTAAGCCATCGATAATGATACCGTCGACTACTAGGTTTTCCAACCGGAACCGATCGGCGGTACAGTTAACGAACCGGAACCCAAAGCAGAGAACCGTTTAGGTCTTGGTCTCTGACATTCGAAATTGGCAAAAAAAAAAAAAAAAAGATTACCCCGAACCTCGATTTTTGCACTGTTTTCTCGAACGGGGTTTCGAAGTTGCCGTCTTGTCTGCTGCAATATTTTCGCGTGTGCTCGTTTTTCAAGACCAAAGTATTGTAAAAAAAAAAAAAAAAAAACATCACACCCGCCACCACCTCTAAGTAGGAAGGAACGCCTCCGCCCTGTTATTATGTAATAACACAGCAAATGAAAATCAATTACTACCATATAACCGTGTGGCGTACACCACCCCCGCGCGCAAACTGTTATTATCTAAAAACAATTACTATCATTATTGTTTAATACTACCCTTCTTCTAAACGTATAGAAGCGTTTTTTTTTTTTTTTTTTTTTTTGTGTCGATAACCGGCGCTGCTACTTCCTTATCCGCCCACCGTTTACGGTATTAAATCTATCGGGGGTTTTTTTTTTCCTCTTAAATCATAATATGCGACATGAACGCCGCGCGCCGGCAGGAGAAAACTATTGATGTACATAAACACGACAATAACGCGTGCAAATATAATAATAATAATAATATTAAACGCTAAAAAATGATAATATATAAAAAAAATATATATATATATATATTACATTATTATAACCCGTACCAGGAATGCTGTCCAATGTCGTCTATACCGTGTGTGTATGTGTACATTGTGTATATTATGTACCTGTATGTGTCTGTCTTTATAATAAGCGGTGACATTTCTATACGGGACGAGTGTGTTGTATATAAACCTGTCCAGTTAGTCCGAGTCCAGTTCCATATTTTTTTATTACATTCCTTACGTCTGTATCTCTCATAATATTCTCGGTTTGCAATTTTTTTTTTTTTTTTTGCCATTACATTTATTATATTTATATATTATAACAGCGGCGCTGATGATGTCTATATAATATTATTATTATCTTCTTGCTCGTCGCAGGGGGGAAAAAAAAAAATCAAATACCGATATAATAGTTTTTCCATCACTCTTTTGTGTGTGTGTGTGTGTGAGATTTCTAAAACGATAATTATTATCATGTAGATATACATGTAAAAGTTATTCGAATAATTAAAACAAAAAAAGTTTCCGATAATTTGTATTATTCGAATAATTTCGTCTGGCGAACGTATAATTATTATTCGAATGGAAAATTATCCGAATAATATAATAAATATATTTTCTATACACGACAAACGAGGCGCGGTGTGCAGTTTCTTCTTAAGTGGAAACGGCGGTGTGTAGATGTGGCTACAATATGGCAACACCCGAGTGTATTATTTTTAGACTCGTCTCGCCACTAAACTAAACTAAACTAAACTAAAAAAAATCATATTGGAATATTCCTCCTCTCTGGCTGTGCGTGCCGACCATCTCCGATCATCCGACCGAATCTCGCCGCTTAAGTACTTAAACCCCCCCCCCTCCCCTCTCAAAACGTTGTCACCTTAGTAGGACGTGTCTCGTCCACGTTTGTTGTTTTAACAGCTTTCGAAAAGTCCACGTCAACACCGTTAATTGAAGATTTTCTCGAGAAACGGATAGATTCACTTTATTTTAGAACTGCTGCGTCTTGTCGCCTCAAAAGAAAAGTGGTCGGGTAGGTTGGATAGAAACAAGATTGTTGTGTTCGAATTCGATTTTCGGTCTCCGACTTAAGTTGTGTCAACGGCCGCTAGGTGTTGTTACCCTTTGCCGACACTCGCAAGCCCAAAATTGGGGTCTCCCCGCCCGGACGGAGGACAGACTAGGGAAGATTTCACTCCGGGGGAGACCCCGGCCGGTGGTGTGTGTGTGTTGTATACTATTATTATTATTATGTAGATATCATCGTGCATTGTGCACTACTGCGAGGAGGGTACACTGCACTCCATTGTGTGTGATATAATAATATTATAACGTGTGTGTGTGTGTGTTATTTCGGTGATCGCCCTGTATACACCTCGGCGGCGGCGGCGGCGGCAGACGGCGGAAAAGGGTTACCCTGTAGTAATAAATCACCGGCTAAACCATGGTGTGTACAAGGCGTATGACGACAACCGACGCGTTATATCTTCCCGACTAAATATAAATCTCCCTAAAATAATCGTGATGCGTTCCCCGCGACTCGTCCTCCTCTGGCCTGGCCCTTGCTCTATTTATATACATAATATAGAATAGTATCCACGTTGCCACGCTCTCTCTCTTCTCCCAGCCATTACCGCACACACAAGCTATACACTACACCGCCACCGCCACCGCCAGTTTCCAAAATAATAATAATAATACAATATATTCAACACTTACACGTGCAAAGCGTTACGCGGTGTGTGTGTGTATGAAACGTTTTCCGGTTTTCGGCGAGGGCGCAAAAAAAAAAAAGAAAGGCCCATCGAATGTGTTTTAATTTAAGACATATTTCGAGTGCAAAGGCGCGGGTGTCTTTGTACGGTGTACATCTGCTGCTGCTGTGTGCTGTGTGTAACGAGACACTCTTAACAAACTGACCGATATCCTGTGTAACACGGACAGAGCTGTTTAATATGTGTGCACGCACTCTCGGAGCTAATTTGGAACTTAAAAAATAACCGTAACCGAAATCTAGAATAATTACGTTGTATCTATTATGGGACAAACTCAAATTCGGGCAAAAAAATATAATTCCGTTTTTTTTTTTTAATTTAACACCAACACCGTCATAGTATGGCAAAGGCAAAGGCGCGAGGTACCCAATAAGGTATCTCGATATAAACGCAAAGATGATGTACACACAAGCCGGGAATAATGACACATCCGTACAATGTGCGCAATCTTTTGTTTTATTATTATATATAAAATAAATATTTTAGGACTTAAACCCGTCGTAAATGGAGTTAATTTCGCTGCGTTTTATAGAGGTTAGGTTAGGTGTAGGTAGGTATATATAATGTACACGGTGAAAATCCTATTTAGTTTTTGTTGCCCCATATATATATATATATATATGCAATTTGCGACGGCTCTTTCGAACAATGTACCATATATTGGCCGGTAAAGTTTTTTTTTATTTTTTTACGATCTCGTTCAAAGAGAGACGGGAGAGGTTCGGATAGTATAATTTTCCTCGGGTAACCTCTAAAAAAAAATATAAATATATATATATATATATATTATAATATACAATACTAGTATATTGCTATATTTTTTGGTCTTGGCTAGTGTGTGTGCTTGCTGGCTGTGCACACCGATGCTAACGGTACAATTAATTATTTTACACGTTTTTTTTTCTTTTTTTTTTTTCGCCTTCTTCCATTATACATACATTGTTTATGTGTATGTGTAAATATAATAATTTGTTGTGCATTGTCCCGACGTTCTCACCAGAACGTGTGTCGCAGACGTGCGTGTACAATGTTGTAAAAAAAAAAAATGTTTTTAAAAAAAATCAATTACCATTACTTGCAATATATTTTATTATATAAAGTTAAACGCGCCCGTAAGAAACGCCTATATATGTTTTATTGTTATAAGTAATAGGTGTATAGGCGTTTGTGTGTGGTGTAATGAATAAAAATAATATCATGATTTGCGTTTCGCCGTCCATATACGATTAGTATTTAATTTAAAAAAAAAAAAAGTAAAAAATAATAGAATAAAACGATGGCAAAACTTGTTAAAGTCCCATCTTTTTATAATTTGATACCAATAGATAGAAAATCCAACGCTCTTTAAGTCTCAAATTTATATATTTTGTTGCCATATTTACAATTAAAAATTGTTTGGCTTAGACCTAAAAGCCAGACAAAATGTCGTCGACTACTTAGGAATGGTCCCAGTTATTTGGCAACTTGACTGGGTCATGTAAGAATTGGATTTTTTCTCTTTTTATGTAAAAAAAAATTGCAAATTTAATTGATGTAATTGACAAGTAACTGAAACTTTTTAAAACTAAAATCGGCCACAACATAGTAAAGTAGACAAAAAACTAGGAATCTCTTTAGAGAATTGAAATTGGACTCCACTGTAAGTAGAAACGTTGTCTATTTTTTTTTAATCTAAAATTGGCCAAAATTACTTTTACCGGGAAAAAACGATATAAATATAAAAATAACACCTCGAAACTTGTACCGGCTAACCGGAAAATTTATGTTAAAACCACTTTTGACGTGCAACGTGCTCTCCTAATATTTTCAATGTTGTTACCTATTTGCGTATTGTTTACCTGTATGTGTATAATATGTTTATACCACTATGTGTATTTTTTATATAATTTTTTTTTTTTTTTGTACACAGATAAGACAAGAGCGGGGTCAGTACTGTGCGGATCCCGAAACCGATTCTTTGGTGAGTACGACAATTTTTTTACGTTACATTAGTATCGACGCTTTGCGTGTCCGATATCGACGGCGGCGGCGGCAGGAAGTAAACGATTTTCCCCAAAAAAAACCTATTTTTATCAGTTAACCATCATCTTAATTTAATGATTGCCCGGATATTCGGTGTGATCGACCGTGTGTCGATGGCGGTGGGGGCAGAGAGAGAGAGAGATAGACAGACAGACAAACAACAGAGAGACACACACACACACAGACCTGTGGCGTCAATGAGGCATGACCTAGGAGACGAGGTGCTGCACACACCGGACATTAAACATTAGCCCGGTATAAAAAAAAAAAGTGGAAACCCATTATCATTAATGTGTCACAGACGAACACCTACGTCTTACTAATAAATATAAGGTCAAACGAGACTGTTGTATATTATGTAAAAAAAAACAAAAAAAAAACCCCGGCCGAGTCCGATTGACCGCCGCAAACATATATAATGTAATATAATGTAATATAATACAATATCCGATATCGTTTTGATACACCTCGTTAAAAAAAAAAAAAAAAAAAAATATGCAACGGTGCGATCATCCATAAAAACCGACTACGACGACGACGACGACGACGCCTAGGACTATTTATACAATGCACATATATTAATAACAATATTATAGGCAGGCTTGTGTGTGTGTGTGTGTGTGCATGCGGTACATATGGGGCCCCGCGTGTATAATATATGCATTATCATAACGATGATGCGGTTACGTTATTATCATTACGATTATTATTACTCTTATATATATATCGTATACACCTGAGAGAGCGGCCAGAGAGTCGGCTCGGGGGCCTGAAAAAATATTATTTAGTATATACTTGCAGAGGAGAGACCTCTGATATTATAATATGTATTCGTAGGGAGAGTAGTAGTAGTATTAGTAGTTAGTAGAGAAGTAGAAGAAGAAGAAGAAGAAGCGGCAGCAGCAACGGCATGGCATGGCATGGCACGGCACGAGGAGATGATAAACACAACCACATGTGTTTTGTATATATTTTTTTATTTCTTAAAAAATATTCGACTCGACCGCGTGCGTATGACGTACAAAAAAATACATATATACACACAACACACACACACACACATTCCATTCGATATACGAATATTCCGAACACGTAGTCTGTGTTATTATTATAGATATATATATATCGTATTATACACATGTCGATAATGATAATGATAATAATATCATCATCATCAGCTATAGTCCCATATATATATTATAATAGACCTATCTCCTGTGAGTAGTTAGTCCTCTCCTGTGAAACGGGAGCGCCCATAAGACAGGACATACCATATTTTATAATAGGTGTGTGTGTGTGTGCAATTTTAAGGTCCTAACCCTCCCCGGTGGGAGGCGCCGGGTGTGTGCTGGGATCCTTCCCGGAAGGTTTTTGGTGTTTTTTTTTCGGTTCATCGTTGGGAAATACATATATATATATATGTGTATGTATAACACATTTTTCAGATTATTTCAAAATTAACGTTTAACAACACTTGTTAACAATCTCCGTACCGTGTGTATGATTAGTGAATTCGAGTTAAGACTGAAAGTGACGGGGCATCTAGTAAAACCACCTGTACGCATAAGTGTTTAACTTAAGTGACATTGAGTAGGTCTCTAGATTTCTGTAAAGGTTTTGGATATTTTGCGCTTAATTCTATGTAATAAAATAGTAATTTTGTTTATATATGAGATACACTCAAGAGAGGCTGTTTTGAAAGTTATCACTTAGGATTTAATTACCCAAAGAAAACACTGTGATCGACCGTTGTAATTAACATGTGATTCTTTAACTTAAAACATTATGTTGTGTTATTGTTAAAAATATCTTTGATATTTAGAGAAATTGTTTTCAACTATATTACAATTAAACATTTTTTATTAGTACCTATATTTTATGTTTCAGGAATAAAATGCTTTCCGATTTTAATTTATTATACATCTCTCAAAGAAATGATATGCAATTATTATAAAATATTTTCTTTGTCGAAATTGTGTATTATTTGTGTTTAATTCAAATTCGAACAGTGCGTTGAACGTTTGATATATATATATATATATATTTTTTTTTTGTTACATAAAGAGTTGAATAATATTTTGGTTTTCACAAATACATTGGCAGCTCTGCTTAGGTGAAAAATGTGGAAAACTATTGTTTTTTTTTTTATATAACAGACCACGGTCGAGAAATTGGAGATTATTTTCGCATATCGTATGATACTTTAAACCTTTTTTTTAAAATCTAAAAATCCGCTCTCTCTAAATTTTTAATAATCGTTAAATATTATCCTTATTATGTAGGTACCCAAATGTGTATAGACATATGTATGTATAGAGCAAATGGATAAAGTAAGTGTATGCGTGTGTGTATCTCTCTCTCTCTCTCTCTTTCTCTCTCTAATGCATAATAATGTGCGTGAGTGTGTGTGTGCTTATACGTTTAGAGTACTACGGCTATATAATGTATGTGTTATAATAATATTATATTATTATATATATATATGTATACATGCGGTAGATATGTATGTATATATATATAAATTTTTTCCATTCGCCGCAGAGAGCTCTCTGGAAGTGCTGAGGAGGAGGAGTAGTAGTAGGAATAATATTTTCTACGGTATGGTGTGCGGTGGAAACCGGTTTACAGACGGCCCCGACCGTCTGGCCCGACCAGTATTCAACACAACAGTATAATGTATATATTGTGTAGAGAACTATTATATGTATTATATTATACATACATATATTTTCTATATATATATATATTGTAATGTACAACGCGACGTTGAAAACGTCGCTGTATTATATTCTATCTCTCTATCTCTCTCTCTTCTCTCTCTCTCTCTCTCTCTCTGTGTATGTAATAGTGTGTGTGTGTGTGTGTAATCCCGTGGAATTTTCTGACTGCAACCGTCGCGTCGTCAATGGAGAGAAGAGATGGCAAAGACAAAAAAAAAAAAACGGTCAGAAAAGTTACCGGTTTAAAAAAAAAAAAAAAATGCATAATATACTTAAATCCCGTACGCGCCTTTTGCTTTGGCATTCGGTCACGGGTTTCCAAATGTGTGCCCACTATATCGGGTAATGTGATATGTTTTTGCCAAGACCGATTTGGTGAACTTTAGGTTACGCTTGTTGTTTTTAGATAGTAAGGTAAGGTCAAGATTAGGGTTCGTTTAGACAGAGGATAGGTCAAGGTTAGATTTGCGTCACATTAGTAGTAGTCGGGCTCTGAGTATCGATCAACAAGGCCCGTTTAATTGATTCTGGTCCTGGACTAAATAAAATCGCGGATAACACATAGTTGGGGCACAATACAGTTCTCTGTTTGAATAACTACATAAACAGTCCACCCGGGTAAATTGATCACAGCAAAAGCATATTTTTCCCGACCAACCTAACCGACCACAAAGGGCGGACTGGCAATTCGGTTACCTATACTATGAGATAGAGGAAACCTATGTTGTGACTGAAGACTGCTTCGGGGAAACCCACGACACCTTGCCCGCCCTCCTCTGCCCGCCTACTGGCGGTGCCCCCATCGAGTCGGGTTAGGTTAGGTTAGGTCTGTCTGTGTGCTGTGTATGATGTGTGTATGATGTGTATCTCTCTGTCTCAAACTGCACGTCGATCTTTGATAATAATAAATCAATTAATCGTTCATTAATTGATTTCCGTCACGTCTACACAATTACTCCACGTCCGTCCGCGGTGCGCGTGTTTGTTTTTTATTTTTTTTTTTACAAGCTATATAATTATAACGTAACAACATATCATTATTTGTACTGATTACCGCGTACAGGGTGACCGCTTTTTCCCAGACCTCTGTCGACTTTTCCGACTCTCAAAACGATATCGGGTACAGGTTTTTTTTTTTAAAAAAAGTCGTCCGCAGACCCCTCTACAATCGTGTAGGTATAATAGGTTAGGATATTACACGACACATTTGATTGACCTTACGGTGATTAAAAAAAATATATATATATATGTACGTGCAGTTGTATTTAAATGACGCAAGTCTACGGATAAAACCGACCGTTATGATAATTTATTTGTTCCATTATATTAATAAAAAAAAAAAATCCAGTCGGCAACCAAAAAAAAAAAACAAGACAAGAGGGTCCGAGTGACATTTTTTTTTTTTTTTTCGAAAACAAGTTTTTCGTCTTACAGATTTTTATCATCAAGAGAACCCTGCGTATACCACCAGCCGTATTTTATTTTATTTTTTTAATCAAAAATATTTAAGTAAAACTCGAAAAACACTTAAAAAAATTCCAATATTTCATTACGCTCTCTTGTAATTTTTGTTTTTTTTTTTTTAATTTGCTATTATCTTTTCGACGGGGTTTTTTTTTTGCTTCTCATAGTGTGGGTATTGATTATTAAAAAAAAAAAAAACAATCGAGTTTAATCGTGGACGAGTGGCTCAGTAGTTGAGTCGACGGATTGAATTTAAATACATTTTAATTACAAGATTTGATTGTATTACACAAACGTTTACGTTACAAGTTACCTACAAAATAAACCCACATTGCCTTACTATTTTTCTCTAATTATTTAGACGAAAAAAAAAAAACAATAATAATTACCTACTTAACTTGTTCTATTGGCGTGTGCACATAACTTTGAGTGTAAAACATTTTTGTCAATCCACCATTTCCGTGTACTATTATTATTATTATTATTATTATTGATATTTATATCATGTTTTTCAAAACCAGTACATCATGGTGAACGGCTGTAAGAAAAAATGAATTAAGGATACACAATAATATAACAACAACCGTCGATGATAATAATAATAATAATAATAATACTCAATAATGACGATAGTCAACGTCCAAGGTTATGTAATAATAATATTATATACATACATACTAAACCGGAAACTAGAGAGGGTGTATTTCTATTTTTGCGTTTGTAAAAAAAAAAAAAAATGTACAATGAAAAACAAATTTTTTTATTTTGGAATATTAAAAAATCAATGGTATTCCCACACGAAAATTGGTCAACCGTGTGCCTAACTGTGCGGTAAGGACACACTGTGTGAATAATTCAGTGCCATTTAAATATTCTTAAGTACTCTATTTACTTTGTTATTAATAAGCCCGCATCGTCTGCTGTCTTTGAAACTACTTGGATTCGAATTTTCGTTTACTCTAACCTGTCAAATTTAATAATATGTATTTAAAAAAAAAAAAAACTATATACAATGTAAGCTGTGTCCAATTGGCAACTCACTCGGCGAGCAGTCCAATTTATATTATTTTAATAAAGTTGTTTATAAAAATACATTTATCAACACATCAGGTGTCATCATTACAATGGTTTTATCACGGTGTAAAAATATAGTATATTATTTAGATGTGCGACATCATAATATTATATTGAATAAAAATAGATACCTACTTTTTTTTTTTTTTTTTTACAAGTCATCGTCAAACACTGCACGTTGACAATATTCTTAAATCGACTAAATTGGTTTTATTCAATCATTTTTCAGTTGGAAATACATTTCATATGATGTATTATTATAAACCGCTGTGACCTCCCTCGTTTTACTGGCTTTTTTTTTTCTCCATTATTTGTTTCATATTAACACACTATAATATTATAATATTTTTATTTCGTGTGTTAACAGATGGTCCAGGCGATACAAGTGCTACGATTTCATTTGCTCGAATTGGAAAAGGTAACGTTAATTGTTATATATATATATATATATTTTTTTTATAATTAATTTATAGCATTGTTATTGTTAAACGTTAAGTATAGTTAGTGTATACACATTTATATAGCGTTTTTTTTACACACGGTTTTCGGTCCGTGTAATGACGACGTTCGCACGTATGTGTAATTATATGGCATTTATGCGTTTGACACGACAATGTATACTTGTGTGTACATATAATAATAATATAATATAAAAAAAAAAAAAAATTATCATTATTATTATGATGTCCTAATTGCCGTGGGCGGTCGTTTCTGCGATAATATAATAATACGTTTAAAAAACGGGTTTACCCGTTTATATATATTTATGTATTTTTTTTTTTTTTTTGTTAATTAATTAAATATTAAATAACAATCCGCGTTGAAAATACATTTCAAGTATAATGACTTGTGCGTGTGTGTGTGTAACTCTCGTTTTCACCGATGCGTTCTTTTCTTCTTCATTTGCTCTCCACACACATAGTGTATGACTGGTCTTTTAACATTCTCACTGCACGCACATGTACCATTTTATATATAAATATATATATATTGTTATTATGTCGAGTGTAACGCAACACTCAGGAGGTGTCGCGTTACACCTCTGGCCATGTGTTTCCAGTCTTGGAGAAAAAAAAAATACACACATATATATAAATATTCTTTCTTTGGTTTTTCGCGGCCACGTGTACCCCCTGCACGATGCTCTACAAAAATACACACAACCGATGCAGCATCCCCATAACGGTCGGGGTTTATATTTTTAACCGTAACAGAGTCCGGAGGGGTGGGCTATATAGTGTGTACCCCCCAAAAATAAAATGCCAGAATTAGTGTAATTTTAACGAGACCCGCCGACCGATTGGGGGGGGGGGGTTAGAGGCCAGACCGATTCGGTCGGTTCGCAGATTAGATAAAACCCGATGACGGTGTGTGTGTGGGGCTCATCTCGGTTTTGGACTAGGATTTGGAAATATGACGGTTCTGTTTAAACAACACTGCTCGTGACTGGTGTACGGCGCGCAACAAGTGGTAGGCGGTGCCTCATAAATGGCTGGCCGCGAAGCACCTTCAAAGCGATTGTGTCGGGGATGGAAATCTTAATTGTATCGTCGGTTTTTTAAGACACAGTGACACGTGAGGTACATTGTCGTCGTTAACGGACAAACGCCTGCCCTTCAGAGTGCCCACCCCCCCGCCCCGTTCAGAGTCGTCCTGTTGGACCGCGATAATTTTTTTAATTGATTATTATTTTTCTATTTCGCAGGTTCACGAGCTGTGCGATAACTTTTGCGCACGCTACATATCGTGTTTGAAAGGCAAGATGCCGGTGGACTTGGTCATCGACGAACGCGCCGACGGCGGTTCCCTGTCCGGGGGCAAAGAACTGGGACTCGGCGGTCTGAACGGCAACGACGGCGGCAACAGAGACCGGCACAGTGCTCACACGCCTTCGACGACCGGCGGCGACCAAGACGGTTCGCAAAGCATCTCTCCAGACGCCATGGTAAGTCTCGTGAGAAACATAATGTATGTGATGACCCACGGTCAATAATGCAGAGGGTAAATGGCTATTGGCAAAATTTGCACCCCACACGCCGGAAATTCCTGAAGCCGGTCATCAGATACCTTTGGTTTCAGGATTTAAGTACAAAGTCTGCTCCGTACAAACGTTGGCCAATCAAAACCCTATTCTAGGGGGGGGGGGGGTTCTGGTCTTATTTTAACCCTCGGCCAGTCCCCGTACCCATAAGACCAGAGTGTACATGCGCATACATGTGTATAATGAATTTAGAGAAATTGTTTTTGACATTACATTTTTTTTTATTAGTACCAATAATTTATGATGTTTCCGGAATAAAATGTTTTCGAATTTATTACACCACCGCGCAAAGAAAATATAACATTTAATACCTCTCGAAGAAATGATATGCAATTATAAGATATTTTCTCTGTTAAAATTGTGTATTATTTGTTTAATTCAGTTGAATAATTTGATGTTGAACGTTGAATTATTTTCACATATTTATTAGTTCTATGCAGCTTGGTTGAAAAATTAAATTGTTTTTTTCGTTTGTAGAGCAAACATTTAACATTAAACATTTTTTATTGCTGGCTATATTTTATGTTTTAAAATTCATTCTAATTTGAATTTATTATACCACATCTCAAAGAAACTATAGTATGCAATTAATAAAATATTTTCTTTGTCGAAATTGTTCCTGTATTATTTGTGTTCGATTCGATTGAAGAATAACGTGTTGAACGTTTGATATATATATTTTTTGTTGTTACATAAAGAGTTGAATTTTTCGGTTTTAACAAAAATCTATCGGCAGCTGCTCTACGGGGGTGAAAACCTAAAAAATCGCCCTCTAATTAACGTGTATCGACGGCAAAGACAACTCGACACGGCCTCTGCTACTCGAAGACGGACGGGCATTTGTACATATTGTATTTTTATTTTTATTGTCACGTCGTGTATTAACACTACTTATCGTTTTTGGCGAGGGGTAGATATGGGGCAACGGTACGATTTTTACAACCGCTGCGGCGGCGGCGGCGGCGACGGCGCTATTCTACGCTACAATATTATATTGTATCTATCTGTGTGTGTGTGTGTGTATTCTGTTTATTTGTTACCCTGGCGAGGGGGGTAATGCCGTACAAACGTTAATGGTGAATAACAATAACGTGTAAACGGAATAATGGCAACGGTACAGATACACGGAATTTTCGAGGGGTGGTTTTCGACTATTGTTTGTTGTTGCGCGTTGCCTTGTGTGTGTGCCAGCCAGCGCGCGCGGGCGCGTTTCACGCGCACACACAACGTCGTCGACAATAGACACAGATAGGGAGTTGGGAGCAAAAAAAAAAAATACAAATAAAATAGAATGAATTAAGGGTATATACGACCAAAAATCGTACACACTATACGACGTTATGGTACGCGCTCCGTACCGAGTGAGAGAGCGAGCGGGCAGGGATCGGGGTGCCGGCCCGGCGGTACCGGGCGTTAATACATAATAACAATAACATAATAATAATATTCCCTCGGTGTACATGTATATATATATATAGGTAGAGGACAAAAAACGAGAATACACAGACACGGGGTGGTTTTCAGGCGTTAATTTAGGCGGGGGGGGGGGGCGAGTGCACGGTTATACGCAGAGGGTAGCGCGGAGGATAGAGGGCATCACATGTCCTTGGTGTGTGTGTGTGTGGTGGTGGCCGGGTATTTTTTTTTCAAAAAAAAAAATTTGGGGGGGGGGGATGGACGGGGTTGACTACCCCGCACCGGTAGCTATGCGTGAATGTGTTACGGGGGTTGTACGCGAGATCCCGCGGGGGTGACAATAACCGATTTGGTGGACGGCCAAAGACGACACGGTGATTTAAGTGGGTTGAAAAAAAAAAAGAAGAACAGAATGATTAAACACATGACTTGTGTAGCGCTGGGGTGTATGTATATAGGGATGGGACCCAAAAGAAAGAAAAGAAAAAAAACGTTATTTTAGCCTTATAAATATGATATTGCAGCGGTGTGGTGTCGGCCGTGAATACAATCGGTGGGAATAACAAGTCAATAGTAGGTAGAGTGATAAAATAGATGCACAAATTCAAAAAAAAAAAAAAATTCCAGTTGCTTATTGGGGGGTTTTTTTTTTTTTTTGAAAATCAATCCAGTGTGAGCAACAAGTGAAGTATGAAGTAATCATGAAATATGTACATTCATTTATGCGCTAAAAATAAAACCTACATGTTACGACTTCTTAAAGTGGTTTATTCAATGTACTTGTTATTTTATTCGCAAATTCTGCATAAAAATACAACATGTACAGATATAAAATTAAAATGCAATTTTCGCTCTTACATGGTATATCAATCTGATTGGTATAATATGCAAAATATGCCGGACGCATTTGGAAGATTTCCATGATTCTACCATTTTTCTCTGTCTACTCTCCGCATAAAAACCTACCCTAACCAATGCAGTCCAGGTAAGATACTAGGAGGAGGAGGAGGAGGTATTCGTGTTTTCTTCGTGGGCAATATAATTTAAACGCGCTGATAATGCACACAAAATGCCTAAACTGAAATCCGCGTTGTAACGTGTAATGCAATAAACGGCGGTCGTCCGTCCATTAAAAGAGAGATAGAGAGAGAGTGACGTTTAGTAACGGTTTGGAATATTATTATATAATTATTACACACTTTAAGTGTCAATCATGAAAAAAAAAAAACTCGGTCGGCTATGGCGTGTTTTCCCCCTTTTTTTTTTTTTTTAAAAAATATATATTTTTTCACTAATCCGATATTCTATCGTATCTCTTCTTCGATCGTCTCTCCCTTTTTTTCCACCACCACCACCACCTCCGCCGCCGCCGCTCGGCCGTGCTGGTAATAATGTTGATAATAATAACGTTATAAAATATCGAGTGGAATGTTTTCGAGTGTCGCCCGGCAACGACTACGGCGAATATAATATTATTATATTACGATGCGCGTTTGTTGTGTAATAAAAATATTCCTCTTGTATCTAATTATTGTACAGCCGCGACGTTGGCGTTTATACCGAATGGCGGTGGCGGTGCTGGTGGCGGTGGCGGTGGTGGTGGTTTACGTGCAATTACACTAAGTGTTGTACGACCAGGGTGGCCGGCCCGGAATACTACCACTGCGCAGTTTAGTTTGACGGGTGTCCATCACTCCGGGGGGGGGCGCGCGCAAAGTGGTAATCCGATTATAACTGTGTTCGGGGTGGTGGTTTCCGCTAAATTTGATCCACGGTGGCGGCGACAACGAGAGGTGGTAGCCCCCGGGTGGCGCAAGAGGAGAAGAAGGGTATAACGGCAAAAGAGGGTAGTAGTGACGCGCCGGTCGGACGAGACGGATTAGTCATTAGTTAATCACATTACATTATCTCTTATTAGTCGAGAGCGAGGGAGAGTGTGTGTGGATTTTTCCGTTTCAAAGTGTTATGAAAATAATATCACGCTCTCTAGTAAACTGTTGAAAATATTCGCCGAAATTTGCTCTCAAATAAAAAAAAAAAACAATTTAATTTTTCAACGAATTCTTCTCTCCCGTCGGCCAATAATAAATTTGTATAAAAAATCAAAAAATTCAACTGTTTGCTGCGTAACAAAACGATACCAATCGTTCAACACGGTTATTATTCGATTGAATCGAATAATACACACGAATAATACAATTTCAACAAAGAAAAAATATTTTAGAAAACATTTTATTCCCGAAAAATGTAGGTACTAAGAAATTTGTTGAAAACTAATTTCTCTAAATAGTAAAACATTTTATAAGCAGCCTTTCTTAATGTATATATATATATATATTATTTATAAAAACCACAACAAAATCCCTATTGTTTTTTTTTTACAGACAAATATTCTCTAAATTGTCCACCCTCGTCGACCTGCTGCTGCCAGGGTGCTTAGAGCCAATATATTATATATTATAATATGTAAAAAAAAAAAAAACCTAAAAATCCTCACACTCTCTCGTATCGTGCTCGTGTCGTATCCCCAATTTCGAGTGTACTATGTACCGTGTGTGTGTGTGTGTGTGTATTTTTATTTCTTTTAAATTGGTACCTACACAACAAGACGGGCATATGAGGAAGTAGGTACGCGTCGGGGTAATAAAGCGATAAAAAAAAAAAAAAAAAAATACAAATATAACTGACCGTTTTTATTAAATACACCACTCGTGTGTGTGTGTGTGTGTGTGTGTGTGTATAGGACAAAATACAAACTGAACCCTAAATAGGTAATAAATTGAATATAATGCGCGGGTCGTGATCCTGATGCGTTTTTAAGAGCGTTTCGAAAAAAAAAAAAAAAAAAAAAAAAAACCACAAGGTAAATTCGGTTTGTGTCGGCGGTTACTTGCGCTACAGTGTAATAACTAATAATTATTACGTTGTACTTTCTTAATATATTATAATTGTGTTATCGTTTTGCTCGGTGTAATTTTATATCGTTTAAACCGTGTACTACTACTCGTACAATTACCGGGATAGGCCGGTGTTTTTTTATTTTTCTTTAATTTTTTTTTAGTTCTTATAAACGCTGTGCCGTTCCGGTGATGATAACGACGACCACTCTCTTCTGTCTGTCCGCTTTGGGTGTGTAATTTTCGGGGCGTGTGCGGCGGCGGGGTATTAAAAAGATTTCCGGAAACTTTTCAATGGCTCCCCTGGGGGGTGGGGGGTGGGGAGGGTCAGAGGGGGATAGGTGTATAAATATTAAAATTCTATTATACGCCCCTACACCGCCATCGCCGGTAATATAGAATATATTTCATAACTTTGCGGGTAAATATTTGTTTGACGATTACACACAGTAAAGTTTGGAAAGTTTTTCAATTCACTCGGTACAAGTGTAGCGTGTTGAATATTTTACTAACCCGCGACACGGTACTCTCTCGGTGTGTGGTGTGTTAAATTATGCACCCTGTACACCGCGGCCGGGTAGGTACTTGATG